ATGTGTTCAGTTACAACAGTGCCTTAAAATTTGATCTTTAAAAAAATTTTGATCTTTACTTGGACCAGGGACAAATGGTATGACACTCTTGAAATGCTGAGCATCAGCAAAAAGTCAGAGCTGTTAGTCACCTTCTTATGAGTATAAACCACTGGTATGCTATAGTATACTCTAAGTATCCAAAAAAAAGTCACATGAGCTATTTTACAATTTATCATAAAGTAGAATTTCTACTAGATTATCTGGCCAACAGACATCTAATTCTGTGTTTTGACGATGTTTAAGGTAGACTAAACTAAGTTATATGTTTGGTAGGCTAGGTGTATCACACCTATAATAAACTTAAAAATTTTCAATTTATAATGAGTTTATCAGAATGTACATCCCTTGTAAGTCAAGGAGCATTTGTGTATGCTACATCTTCCTTATCTATTCATAAACAAGCTGGCATTTAGATTGTTTCCTTTTTTTATTGTGAATAATATCATGCAAATGGGGAAATACAGATTTATTTGATGGACCATATGGTAGTTCTATTATTATTTTTGAGGAATGTCTGTACTATTTTCAATAATGGTTGCACCAATTTATATTCCCATCAACAGTATACGAGTACCTTTTGCCTGCATCCTTATCAACACACTTTGTCTGTTGTCTTTTTAATAATATACGTACTGACAAGTATATAGCAATATCTCCTTGTGTATTTGATTTGCATTTCCCTGATGATTAGTGATACTGAACATTTTTCACATATCAATTAGCTATCTATGCATCTTAATTGAAAAAAAATGTTTATCCAGTTCTTTGCTCATTTTTTATCTTTTTAAAATTTGTTTTGTTTTGGTTTGGTTTATTGAGTTGTATTTATCTTTTAAAACTGAAATACTACAGAAGTTTTCTTTCAGGAATTACCACCCTTATCCTATTTCCATTACTTTGAGGATATTATACAAGCACTGGCTTGGATCTCATCTGAGAAATTAAAGGGTAGAGGATCATATTTAATGGGATTTCACAGTTGATACTTTTGACCCAGATTTTCTAAGTGCTCTAACCCACATTTTCTAGATTTCTAGAAGTGCCAGCCTCTTCTGAAATGAGGCAAAGAATGAAAAACTGCTAACACTGAGCTTAAAAATGATTTCTCTTTGCTAGTGACAGGAAAACAAGAGACAAAATAAACTTCAAGATAGGAAAAGTAAGAACAAAACAATTTGGCTCTGCTGATTTACCAATGAACTCTGAATCCTTGTTAAGATCCAGGTAAGGAGTTCCAAATAATCAGATAATGTTTTTCCTCCAGGTACTGCATGTGGTGTCACAGCCAAATAAGGATACGGTGCACTGTTTCCACACAAGACAAATCAGAAAATATAGATATTAAAGCTGGCCATATGTAATATTCTGAAAACAAGTTATAAGGTGCCCTGGTCTTTTTACCTGCAATTTACTTCTTTTTAAGTAAGTCACCTGCTTCCACTCCTTTATTCACTCTTCTTACTCCTTGACCTCCATACTCAAAATAATTTCTTGTTCTCTTACTAATCCCCTTCCAGTCCTGCTCACAGAAGAGAAATGACTGACTGATAAAGCCTAAAAGTGATTCATTATATAGAAGATACTTACATGTGACTAGATTTGGTAGAACCTCTTTAACATTTTGCTGCCATAATACCTTCTCTGGTGTAACTATCTATTCTCTACTCCATGATATATTGTCAACCTATCCTTCTCCTTCACAATGAGTAAGTGGCCCAGGCTAGATCCATATTCTCTGGATATAATGCTATGGGCCTTGGTAGAATATTCCCCCTGTGGACATGCTTGTCCTCTGGACCTTTACTCTCCCTGGTCCTGTTGTCCTTTGCATCACAGAAAGTCTGAGCCCCTAGTTTTGGCATACTGCAGCCAGCGTGAGACATCCTGGGAGACTATAGAACTTAAGACAGTCACTGTTTCTCCCTCTCCCTTTTTTTCCCTCTCTTTCTCCCTCTCTCTCTAGCAAGGGAATACTGCATCTCCTTGGTTCCAGGTTCCACCCTGATCAATCCAGACACAGACTCTGGAAATTTTTATTACTTTATCACTGATCTAAGTAGGTACCAGCTTTCTCTTTTATCTAATCTCTGGGTTTCTGCAGTGTTTCCTGCTTATCTCTGAGTTTTTTTAAACACCAAGGAACTAACCTTATGCATTAAATATCCTCTGTTTTAAATCTGTGCTTTCTATTTTCCTGCTGGAACAATCACTAGATTGGAGTCATTTGAATGAGGTCTAACTTTTGAACGTTAAGAGTAAAAAGATCTCTCTTTTAGACTGTAATGTTATGAGATTGGAGAAGCCAGCAGACAATTTTGAGCTGCTTAAACTCAATTTGAGGTAATTTCAAACAGAAACATACAGAAATAGAGAAAAGAGAATCCTGAGACATTCTTAAAACTCCTTGTTCTAACTACATTTCAAGTTAGCATCACCATATGTTTCATATCCGAGACCAGGATACTTGAAAATAAAAGAGGCTGCAGGTAGTACTTAACTTAGGATAAGGCACAAACTGAGACTGGCTTAGGCACACAGGAACATAGAGGCACACTGCATAAAACCAGCTTTATCCTTGGATTTCACATTAATTGAGCCAGTAAATTCCTTTTGACCTTTAACCTAGTTTGGGTTGGGTTTCTATCACTAAATGCAACAACTGATGACTAGCACATGAGATAAATGTTCAAACCAAAGGAATTATTTTCTACTAGTAGGATTTCAAGTAGGTAGAAGAATATCACATAATTAGTCTCCAAAACTGCACATTTTTGGTATAGCGAGGACTATTATATGAAATTTTAATTGCTATACCCCAAATATACTAAAAATATGCAAAGAAAACAATTATAACAATAGGAGAAACACATACACTCCATTCTCAGATTAAACATGACTCTTTGGTGATTGTTTTCTGCATTTAAAATGGTGGTTATTTATGATATATTTTCATCTGAATAAAAATTTTAGATGAACCACAGCTTATAATTTTCTGTATGTCTAATTCCTGTTTGGATATAGCTTTATTATACCATGAAGAACTGGCCTTTGAGAACTGCTTTTCTTCTTTATTTTCTTCCTTTTACTTTTTTTTCATTCTCCTATAAGGTCTCACTTATACTACAGATTAAGTAGGATTGTGTTGGCTTGCTTAGAAATCCGATAGTCATTTTTAACTAAAAAGTGTGATTGAAATATATGATGGACATTTAAAGTTTGAAAATTTATTACAATAAAAGACACATGGCAGTTGACCCTTCCAAAAGCACATCCACCATCCCCCAACATACACACTTTTGGCACACATCCCATCAATCTTTCCACTTTCTGAAGCAGTTCTGGAAGTCTTCCCTTATAAGAGTCTTTCGGAGGTGACACGTTTCTTTTGAAAAATATGGTGACTGCTGCTGCCAAATGCTATCCAAAGAAAAGGCAGATTCATAGGAACATTACAGAGTATTTTCATCCATCTTATTCACTGGATCTATCATTGTGCAACTTCTAGCTTTTCCCCTAAGCCAAAATAAAAAGCAAATGATTTGAACTGCTTCAAGACATTAAGGTAGCCATGACAGTGCCACTAAAGACACTCAATAAAGAGGACTTTCAGAACTGTGTTAGAAGGTGGGAGGAACAATAGAGGAAGCCGCTGGAGCAAGGTGGACTAAGAACAATGTGTCTTTTACCATAGTAATCTTTTTAAAAAATTATACATTAACACTGTTTTTCAATCTTCATATGTCTACCAAAATTCATGTTCTTTAGGGAATAATGAGAAGAATATACTACACATAATACTTAGCATATTAGCTCAGTTCACTCACAACTGCTTAGTTTATGGAAAAATGGAAAGCAACAGTTCAAATACTGTAACTCCTAAGTCCAGCAGGCATGCTGTCCACTTCAAAGAGTCATTTTCCATTTAGGAAGTCACTGAAAATTCAAAGGTTTGAAATTTCGTGAGCAGTTAGATCTTCTAAATGCCATAGGGATGACTGTACTAACTTCACTATTTGAGTTTGTGTTACTCATTAATAAAAACAAAGATTTAAAAAGAATTATAAGAAAATTGGGCAAACCATTAATATGTTTCACTGCCTATTTCTTATAAAGCCAATTTCTCTGGTCACAAAACATGTCTCATTTTAACAGAAAATGTGTATCTGAGAAGATTAAATTGTTGCCAAATTCTGCATTTGAAATAAAAGTATGAGGATGTACAACTTTAAAAACTACTCAGAGATGAGAAGTATGATACATACAAGTAACTATACTTCATCAGGAATCATTTTGTTTTAAAAAATCAATTTCTCTCCTCTTGGCCTTTCCAATAATTTGTAAAATAATTTATTGTAGGTTCTACATTTTGGTCAAAATGTCTCATACAGAGTTAATGAAATCAGGAGTAATGACCATCTTGAATGCTGAGTGAAATTTTTCATCTCATTTTAGTAAGCATTTACTGAATACTATTAAAACTACTAAATCCATTATTCCTGAAGATAATAAAATGAGTTTTGTCTGATTCATAATCATGAGAAAAATATTGTGCTATGGTTAAACTCTAAACTTCTTGTGTTCTCAGAGGTGAGAAGTTTGAAATGTATTTGGATCATGGCGAGTCCTACAGCTAACTTGCTGTTAGGAAAAAGAGTCTGGTTTGAAGAGGTGGGTCACAGGGTGAGTCTTAGAAGAGTATATCCCTCATTTCCTTGCTTCCCTCTCTGCTTACTGATGTGAGCAGTTTTTTTGGCCACTGTCATGCTTTTTTCAGTCTTGGACACCTGTCAACTGTGGACTGTAATCATGAACCAAAGTAAACATTTCCTCCGTTAAGTTTTGGGTGTCAGATATTGTGTCTCAGCAATGAGAAAGTTACTATGACATACAGGAAGACTTTCTATGAGAACTAGGAAATTAAGGAAGGAAACATAAAGTTTGTGGAACTTGGGTATAAAGATCGTAGTAGGTAACAGTTTTACTGTTTAGATGCTTCAGTTTTCTTTGTCACTTTCAGTCAGTATCATTTCCTCAGTCTCAACAGATGGCTCCAGGAACATAAAGCGTTCACGTATGGATGGCAAGGATCTAATCAAATTATACATTCTTAAATGTATCCTTGGTGACAGTGGAGGCTGTAGCTTCATTTTTCCAATGGATGAGAAGAGTGACTTCAATATTTTGGACGCCTCACTCTGGAAGATTTTTGTTCTAACTGTGTAGAAAATAAAAATCTGCAGACCCTGCACATACAATGAAAATTTAATGTTAAGTGGTTAGGAAAGTGCTAAGGAAGAGATTTTATTTCACCCTGATATCCACTCTTCTCATCATGCACAAAAATCACTCAGTTTGAATTTGCAGCTGTCATATGAAGTGCTACATGCAATAATATATTGAAAAGACCTGATAGCATGTCCCTACTTGCCATCTGACAAATGCAAACGTAAATATATTTCTTAAAATTGTGTAGTCAATATTATTTACAACAATTGCATGATAAACTTTAAATTTTACCAAGAATTATGAGACAAGAAGCAATTTTAGTTGCTTTAATATTAGGTTAATTGGGGCTGGGGATTTAGCTCAGCGACATAAGCGTCTGCCTTGCAAACAGGCAGTCGTGAGTTCGATCCCTGGTACCGATAAAAAATACTAGTTTAATTTACTGCTTTACTGTGTTTTAATATTAAAACAAAAAGTTGTTAATTTTATTCCTTGACATTTAATCACAATCATTTAAAAAATCATGACATTCATACTTTGTTTTTTAAATTTATAAAGTTTTATATATTATTTTCTCCTTTGAAATCATTCCACAAAATTTAATGCATAGAACATTCTATGGTCAACAATATGTATGGATTTCCATCATCATAAAAGTGATAAATTAAAATGTGAGATAAAAGTAAAAGAACTAATGCCATATTCAGTCATATGCAAAATTAAGCCACAAAACAACTTTGTGAAATTCTGATACTATCTAATCAACCTCCTTGCAATTAACAACTATAAACTCTGGATGGATTACTTTGAAAACCTACCTGAAAATACTAAAGGATAATCAAAAATAGCCTAAAATTGGATGATAAATCTGGACTTGGAAGAGAGTACTGAGAGTGAACATGTTAATTCTAAGTCAACAATAAAAAGTTTTTTTTTTGTTTGTTTGGTTTTTTTTTATCTTTTTCCTTTTTACTGGTACCAGGGATCGAACTCATGACTGACTGCTTGCAAGGCAGGTACTTATGCCGCTGAGCTAAATCCCCAGCCCCAACAATAAAAAGTTAAGGATGTAGAATATATCCCTAAATACAGGCTTCCAATTTGAAAAAGAGTATTGTTAATTACCAAAGTAAAAGTTAAAATGTGATTCTAGTAATATTAAATTTACTAAAATGTAGGCAATAAAAGAGGAATATAGAAATAAAAATAGCATAGTAGCAGGAAAAAATTAGTCAAATGATAGACCCAAATGAGCTCATATCAATATACACTTTAGAACAATCTAAAATGTCTCCCTACCATTTCACATTTGAAGATGGGACATGTTTGGAAGGTCACTGGGGGCATGATTTGGAAGGATGTATTCTTATTACTGGCTTCTTTCTTCTCTTTGATTCCTAGCCACCATGCTATTTTCCTCTGCTCTGCTCTTCTGTCATGCCATATCTCCTTTGGTGGTAGCTGACCATGCACTAAATCTGCTGAAACTGTGAGCCAAAATAAATCTGTCCTTTATATTGTGGGTATCAGATAGTGTGTCAGTAAAGACTAGAGTCAAAGGGTGTTATTTGTCTTATAATTTATATTTAGATATCCCCTAAAAGCTTCATGCCTCATAGATGGGGCCTTTAGAAAGTTATTGGGACATAGAAATGTGATACTTATTGGTGGAGTAGTCTATTGATAAGTTTATAGCTAAATGTCTCTATAGAGGAGGAGCATCACTGGGGGAATGGCCTGCAGGAGTATGTTTCCATCCTCCTACTTGATCTCTCCTCTCAGTTTCCCTCTGCCATCTGTGAGCTGTTTCTCCTCTGCCATGCTGCCCTGCTTTGGAGTCAGCTCACTGTGTATGGAAACTTTTACACTGAGAGCCAAAATAAACCTTTCCTCCTTTAAATTATATTTTTTGGTTATTGTGTTCCAGCAGCCAGAAAGTAGCTAAGACAGTTTGGGAACAAGGACTTCAATAGCTGTTGGACTAAAGGCCGTGTGTGTTATGCTCTGACAGAAATTTTGGCAACATTTTGCCCACATCCTGAGAATTTCCAGGGGACTGAGATTAAGAGGATCAAAGTAATTAATCTGATGGAGAAAATTTTGAAGTCTAATTTTCAAGCTATTACATGCATATTGTTGTCAGATCTATAGTCAGAATCAGGAGCAAATAACAGCGCTGAACTATTTTAAAAGTTTGCAATTTCTCCAGAAAGGAAGTACCTGCAAAGTTGAGGTAAAGCAAACCATAGCTGTTAAAAACGTAAACATTTAAAGAAAGCCAAGTACTTTGTACAGGGACAAGAAAAAAGATGATGAGGACCTTTCAGAAATCAGCAAGATCCCAATCAACGGCATGCTCAATTATGCAAAACTATAAATGTTTCACTTGAAAGTTTCTGTGATAATATTTAATTCAGAGCTGCCTAAAGAAGTATATTCTTGAGTCAGCTTCCCTGCTCAGAAGCCACTTCAGCCATGATGCAGGAGGCCCTAGCTACTACTCAATCCTAGTGACCAACTTAACATTGTACATGTAGTGTTGATTTTGCAGTTACGAAAAATGAAGTTATTATGGGGTCACAGAGGCTTCTCCCCTGATTTCAGAAGAAGGCCAAAGAGGTAAGGCAAAAGTATGTGACAGGGTTGCAATAGAAGTCCATGAGAAAGCACTATGTTAAGATGTAAGAATGAAAGCAAAGATGTAGTACAATTCTATGAAGTTGAAGATGCTAGGAACATGAAATTTGTACTGAGAAAAACCTCACAATGAGCAGAGCCAGGTAAAGAGAGAGACTGTGTGGACTGCAACCAACAAAGTTACAGGAGTGAGCCTGTCAAAGCCCTTTGGAGCTCACATTTCACCACAACCTGCCAAGAGTACTATCAAGCTATATGATCTAATTATTGCAAGGTTTCAGTCTTGATTTACTCTAATTCCTTTGTATCCTTTTCCTCTTATGAGAACATTTACTCTGTGCCACTGTATATTTGATGTGTTAAACTTTCTTTTTTATTTTTAAAGGGGTTTACAGCTTAGAGTTTGCCTTGAGTCTCAGAGGAGACTTTGGACTTGGACTTTCCAGCAAGCTAGAACGATAAGATTTACGCAATTCTTACAGATGAACAAAATGCATTTTGCTTAATAAGATATACACAAGCTTTTGGGGGACCAGGGGCAGAGTTTTATGGATTAGATATAAAATATCTCCCCAGTGTCTCCCATTTGGAGATGAGGCATGATACAAAAAGAGTGGGGGATTATCTATTCCCATCCTTGGCTTCTCCCTTCTTACTCTGCTTCCCAGTCATCATGTGGAGAACAGGTTTCCTCCACGATGCCCTTCTTCCCTGCAGTTTCTACCTTGGTACCAGCTGACCATGGACTAAATCCACTGAAACTGTGAGCCAAAATAAACTTTCCTCTAAATTATAAATGTCAGGTATTTTGTCTCAGAAATGAAAAAGTGATATACATCGCAGAAAAAGTGGCAAAATGGTTAGACACAAATTAACCCAGATTAACTCATAAATACCATAGACCTAACTGGACAAAGCACCCTTACTAAAGGATCAAAAATTATCAGAATATATAAAAAGATAAGAACCATATGTTCACTGACACATTCTTTAAATATAAAGTCACAGAAGTTGAAAATAAATGGATGAAAAAGTATAGAATATGCAATCTATGTGCTTAAGAGGGTTGGATAACAGATAAAGTATACTTCATGGCAAAAAGTATTATGGGGAAATAAAGAGCCTTTTAAATGAAATGATTAAAGTACCAAATGATTAAAAAAAGTGTAACAATCATAAATGTATGTACATGAGTTTGAATGCTGTGTAGCTGTTTATTCTTTTTGCTCAGTATAACATGAAGCAAAAAAATGACAGAAGAAAAGAAACAAATTTACAATCAGAGGTGGAGATTTTTAGTACTCCTCACTCAGCAACTAAGCAAGTCAGATTTAAAATAAAAGTATTGGGATGACAGAAAATATGGGAAACCCTGCCAATTCCTAACTCTAATGACATTTTTAGGATCCTACATCTACAAAATACAAAATTTTTCAAGGAAAACTTGTTCATTGCTGTAGCTCAAAAGCTATACCATAAACTAGTTAATAAATTAAAAATAACTTAAAGAAGAAATTTACCCATACCACAGAGATTCAATCTCTAGCAATGACTAAACTTTAGCTACATCAACCATAATAAGGAATTTTCCAGAACTGGTTATATAGAAGAAAAGGAAAGATGTTTCCTAAGATAGCTACTTTACAGACAAGTATCTTCCACTCAGAGAAGAGATTCTACTGAAATTATATTCTCTGACCTCCATACCAGGAAAAGACAGTAAGTCATAAAGAGCTTTCCTTCCTCTTCTTAAAAAGTATATTGAAATTAGAGTCTCCTAAAGGTAACTAAATAATGACCTTCAGGGATTTTAAAAAGAAACTTTGGTCCAGGTTTACCAGTTTTCCCACTGCTGCATGATCTGCTACTTTCAAACTAGTGCACACCATACCTGAGTAGTGTTGAAAATGCAGAATAGGATACTGAAGACATTTCTTATGTTATCATTACTAATTAGCATAAAGTATGCCAAAATCCAGGTAATTCCCAAAACAACTGCCATGGAAAGTGTGCCAATAATTTTCCTTAGGGTTGAAATCCTTTTTGTGCTAAGTGAGGAAAATAAGAAAGAAAATATAACTTAATAGTTTTTTATTATGACTGTTATTATCCATATTTAGCATACATATTCACTCATATATACTGCTCATTTAACATTACTATGCCTCAGAAAAGCAATGATACTAAACACTATATCACTCTGAAGATAATCTGATTTAGCAAGCCTTATTTTAAAATCCCTAGTGCCTACTTATAAGCTCAAGTGAACACAGTTCCTTAAATATTACTGTAGGCAAATTTTACTAAGAATCCAAATTTTCATTCGAATGTAATTTTTAATATGTGCATAGTACTACAAGACAAACTCAGCTGGAATTCCTATTTGGTGATATCTGTGAGCTGCCTATACCTTAGTTTGCTATGGAAGAGAGGTAATTTAGACATGGAATATTCTTCCTTCTAATAGGAATTCTGTACACCTGACATTTCATTTTTTGCCCCTTGAATTTGGCCAGCAAGAAAGACACACACAGAGATCTGAGAGTTCACCAATGAAAGTTTGTTTTTTCTTACTTCCCTTTGGAGCCCTGATACCATTGTTTTGAAAGGTCTTGTCTCACCTAATAGAGAATAGATACAACTTGGAGCAAAGTTAAGCTTTCTCAACTGTAGAGTTGTCATCCAGCATAGAACAATCAGACATAAAAGTTAGTCATCCTAATTTGTCAACATTTGAGCCAGCCATAATGGAACAACTACTTACCCAACACTCAAAATCATGACAAATGATAAGTATTTGTAATCTAAAACATTAAGTTTTGGGGTAGTCTGTTATTTAGCTAACTAACACACTACATAGAATTTTTAAACAAATTATATATGTTTTTCCTTGTAGCTAAGCTTATTTAAGAACTGGGCTATCAGTCAGTCAAAATTTAGAAATATAAATTTTGTGGGTGTCTGTGATCAAAATAATATTGTTTTATATAAAGAAAATATATTCTAATTTTCTGCTTAAACTAATTGCAAAGTTGTTCTGCATTGCTATTAAAAAACATAGGTTTTAATGTTTTGAAGTGACAGTATTTTGCTTTAATGTTAACTATCATTCATAGAGGAAGAACTTTGATATGTAAAGTACATATTCAAGATTATATTCTAAATGATGATGGTTTTCATTCATATGTTAATACCAAGTAGATCCATTTGTGAAATTATTAAGTTCACAGATGTTCTTATAGTAAGTATACTTGTAGAATTAAACATAAACTCATAGCCTCACTAACACTGATCAATTAGTTCTGATCACTTAGTGCTGTGGAGATGAAGACAGAATGTATATGTTTAAAGTTCCTTTTCTTGGTCTCCCAAACCAAAAGTTCTTTTATATTAGAGATGACAATGAGAATTTTTACATCGTCACACATATTGTATTGTATTATGCTATATTATATTATACTATATTTTTGCTACATAGCAAGTAGAAAACAGTTTTGGAAGTCATAAATGGAAAGAGCACATATCCCATTTTTAGGGAACATAGACTCAGGGAACTGGTTTGAAGAGAAAATCCTATTTTAATAAAAATCAACAAATGTGTATATTCTCACAACTAATTTTAAATAGTTTAAAGTTAATGTGTAACCCAAGCAATGTATGTAAAATATGGACTATAGATTCTAGTTTGAAAAATGAAAATTCAGGTACCAGAATATCTTAGCAACTCATTTATTAAATTGTTGAAATTTTATATTTTGAATATCCCTTGTTAAAGGATAAAGGAATTTTTAAAAGTTTTTTTGATTTAGATTTTATTTGGCCTCATTTAATACAAAAAGGCATTGTGTAATGGTGTACACCAAAACTGTAACAGTGATCTTGGAGACAATAAAATTCACCTTCTGAGTTGATAAGAAAAGCTCTCTAAAATATCACACATTCTTGTCTTTATCTGAGAGTTTGAAAACCCTTCCAAGAACCATGGACATTTTCAGTGTTTTATAAAGTGAGGTGTAGCATTGTCTCATTCATTTGGAATCCTACCTGGTCAGATTCGGGTTATTCTTCCACAGCACTTTGACCACGATTATGCCAAATGTAACAATATTACCGATGAGGATAATGGTTATAGGAATCATGAATGACCATAAAAATGAATTTGTCATAAAATTATTGTCATTTGATATTGCCAGCCAGCAGCTGTGGAGAAAAGAGAAATTATTTCAGCAGACCAAGAAAAGTATAAATACCGATTTCTTTTTCTATTAACATTATTGACAATCACACAACTGAAATATTTGATAAAAGGCTGAATCTCTTGGCTTCTTATACGTTTGAGGTTTTTTTTCACAAGTTCAACCACTAGAAATATGAAACGCGCTGCTTCTGTCATAGTCGTCTCTAAGTCAGTTTGGGCTGGTGAAAAGATGATAGGCTTTTGAATCAGGAAGTCCTAAATTTTAAAAAATCATCCCTTGTCACTTCTGAAGTGTCTGATTTTAGGCAAGTTGTTGTTCTATTTTATTTTTTAGTATATATCTGACCTAGATGGTTCAAAATATGAAACACACAAATGGTTATAGAGGAACAAGATTTTCTCCCTTGTGTAATAAGGCTACACATACATCAACAAATGAATAATTTTTTCATGATTTTCAATCCAACATTAATATTTAACTCATACTTCTATACCTTACCTGGCATTTCCAGGTCATTCTGTAACATTACAAAAAGCACCCTCATTATTTTTATAGTTGCACATTATTCTATCATTTTGAAATGCCACAATTTATTTGAACAGTTTACAATCAGTGGGCAATTTAAACTTTTTACAGTTAAAAAGTGAGAAAATTATTTAACTTCAATGTACCTGTTATTATTTTATTCTGGTTAGTTTTGGTGGTGCAGCTTATGATGGTTTCTTGTTATTTTTCCCATCTGAAGTAAGAATAATGTCCTCACCTCATGGCATTGTTTAAAGAATTCATTAATTCATTTATTAAATATTTATACATATGTGCAAAGTGACATGTTCTGTATTACACACCATGGGTCTTGGCATGGTGAGTCACACCTATAATTTCAGTTACTGGGGAGGCTAAGGCAGGAAGATTTAGGTGAGCCTGGGAAATTTACTGAGACTTGTCCCAAAACAAGCCAAATAGCCTGTATACTCACCAACAAATGATTAAATAAACAAAGCATGGCCTTTACATATACTGGAATATTACTCAGCTATAAGGGATGACAGATTTGAGATGTTTGTGGGAAATGAATGCAACTGGAAAATACAATATTGAGTGAAATAAATCATACATACAAATTTAAATACTGTATGATATCTCTCATCTGAGTGAAGCATAGTACAAACAAAGAAAATTGTATAGAAACTGATAGAAATGAACAATATTTAAGACTTCTTACAACAGGTTAGCAATCCAAGGGACTAGTATAAGGACTGAGGAAGAATGGAAGGGGAAATAAGAAGAATAAAGATGTTCCATGTGCATGAAGCTAATAACCCTAATTAATGTAAATAGTATATACCGTAACATGATGTAAGACAAATAATATGAACAAGTCTGAAAAAGGGAATGGGGAACCAGTAGAGGAGTGAGGAGGAAAAGAGAAGGGGAAAAGAAAAAAAAAAGAAAAAAAGGTGAAATATGTATATATGCACATGCCAAAGGTGACTGTGAGCTGTGTGAATTGCCAACACATATTAATGAAATGTTTAAAAAAGAAAGATGAAATATCTTCCCAGAAAATAAAGGGCTGAAATGTGTCTCAGAGAGCACTCCTGTGTTCATTTCCCACTACTACCAAAAACAAATACAAAAACCCTCAAATTCCTACTATTTTACACATCAAGGTATTAGCAGCAAACAAAATCCCACCCTTAATAGGTGCATAGACTAATGCAGATAAAATAACACATAAATAAATGTATGTTAGATAACATATGCTTTGGAGGAAAAATAAATGGTTAATGATATTAGAGGTTGTTGCATAAATGTGTGTATGGGATGTTGTTTCACTGTAAACTGAGTGATTAGGGAAAAGCTCATAAAAACATTAATACTTGAACAAAGACCTAAAGTAATGAGGGGAAAGGTAGAGGTTATATCAAGCAAAGGCAGAAGTTACATAAAACACAAAAGTCTTGAAGTGAAAGTTTAAGAAGCAGCAAAGAGGTTAATGTGGCTAAAACAGTAAATGGGTGGGACATATGAAGAGATGAAAATTGCTTATACTCTGGGTGAGATATTGAAGCAAAGCATGATCTTTCTTAAGTTTAGAAACTATTACTCCAGGTGCAGTGATGAGAAAAGGGCATGAGAAAGAAAACATGAAATCACTTAGGAATCTCCACAATAATCATCTATAGGTTTAGATCAGAAAAGGAGATGTAAAAAGCAGTCTGGTTCTAGGTATTTAAAAGGAGAAAGATCCATTATTCTGTTGGATGTGAGATGTAGGAGAAATAAGAATGATTCCAAAATCTTTGGCCTGAGTAACTGTGATGGGGAACATGATTAGACAAACAGGTTTAAGAGGAAAGACATGAATTAGATAACCAAGTGGGGTGCTAGGTCTGTAGTTGGGTTTTAACAAAATAAAAAAGAAGGGTAGTACATACTTGATACTCAATTGCTCTCTATTTTTCACCTGGGGGGAAACACTATTATTATGAATTCTGAAAGATTCCTAAATTATTTTTTTCATTTGGATATTATTATTTAAATTACTGTATAGAAATTACATGCAATTAAAATGAAACTTTAATCTTATCAATCTAAATGACCTAGGAAGAAACCGAGATGATCTTCAAATTTGTAATGAATTAATGAAACAGCATTCTTGCCTTTAACATATATAGTAGATCCAATGCTGAATAATGTGATGAGAGTGAGAAAAGAAAATCTTATCTTTAAGATTTCTAATCTGTTTTTCCTTTCGTCTGTGACTGGAAGACACTCCTCTAAACAATCTTACCTAACAACACTTTGGGTAAGAAATTAATGATCCTGCTAAAAAATACTTTCAAATTTCTAGAAGTCTTTTTGGTGATTAAGCAAGTAGATGGCAAAATTTTTCAAAGAAAGAGATAAAGCCCTTCCTACCAGAAAGCCTTGAGAAACAGAGGGTAAAAAGTGCAAGCCAAGCGCATTGCCATCAGAAGGCCCCTTCTTGCAGGCAGCCAGCATGAGCATAGAAAAACCAGCAAATCCACCTCCACCTGCTGGGTGCAGTCTCCAGAGGCCCCTTCCTATTGGCAGCCAGTATGGGCAGAGAGAACCAGCAGATACACTTCCACCTGCTGGACACTGCCACCAGATGCCCTTTCATACAGGCAGCAAGCATGAGCACAGAGAACCAGCAGATCCATCTCCACATGCTGGGTGTGTCTATTGGAAGGCCCCTTCCTGCAGGCAGCCATGCAGGCAAGAGAACCACAGATCTGCCTCTACCTGCTGGCCCCTGCAACCTCTACCAGTAGGCCCCTGCCTACTTCTTGTAGGCAGCCAGTGTGGGCAGAGAGAACCAGGAGATCCACCTCCACCTACTGGGGTGTTCCCTACTGGAAAGCTCCTTCCTGTGGGCAGCCAGCAGGACCAGGGACATGCAGCCAGGTAAGCCCCATGTACTTGTAGGCCACCATTGGAGGCCCTTGGTTCCTTTAGGCAGTCACCACCCATCAGGAGAATCAGACAAACACATCCTTGTGTGCCTCCCACAATTTCTGGAGCCCCAGTATAGACACACAGGCTGAGAGAAGCAGCCCCACCTACATGCACCCTTGATCATTAGGGAAGCCTCAGTGTAGCTGCATAGGTTTGGAGAAGCCTGCCCTGTAAATCTGGGGTCGGAGGATCCCAGTTGCCTGTCCCATTCCCCTACACCATTGAGGGACAGCTAATGTGGGTAGTTCCTGGGACCCCAAAACCAACTTGTTGGGAGGAATCCAGGAGAATATCAAGATGAGAGAGCAAAAGGTAATCTCACAAGAACAAAGCTGAGAAATACAGTCATGGAAGAAACTGGAAGCCACATACCTTAAATCTCTGCAAGGATAGCAATTAAGGTAAAGAAACAACTTCATGAGATTGTAAAAGCAATCAAATCAGAAATGTTTCAGGTAAAAGAAGAAATCACAAATATAATGAAAGAATTGCTCAGCATATCCAAAGAAGACATGGATTAAAAAAGAGCATGGGAAAATGATGGAAATCTTGAATGAATGTAGAAAGAATTACAATGCATGAAACAGATTCAAAGAGAGATCCAGGAAATTAAAAAGTCAGTTGAAAACTGGCAAAACTACATGAAAGAGATTGAAGATATACTTTCAGACCTTGAAGATGGGATTGCAGCTAGTGATCATGAAAGGAAAGAGCTCTTAAAAATAACAAGGAATCAGGAACAATTCAGTGGCTATTAAATGATGCAAACAAGCATAATTTAAGAGTTATATGTCTTTAAGTGAAGAACCAGGGTTCAACACAAGTGAAATAAAAAGGCTATTTACAGAAGTAATAGAAGAAAACTTTCCAAACATGGGTTAAGAATCTGATACACAGACAAATGAGGTGTATAGGACTCCAACTAGTCATAGCCAAAGTAAATCTACACCCAGACATGTAATAATCACAATCTCAGAAAATCAACACAAGTCCAGAATATTAAAAGTTGTTAGAGAAAAGAAACAGATCACCTACAAAACCAATTAGAATCACAGCAGACTTATTAACACAAACCATCAAGTCAAGAAGAGTTTGGAGAGAAGTATTTCAAACCCTAAAAGAAAACAACTTCCAACCCAGATTGATGTACCCTGAAAAACTGTCTTTCAGAATTGATGAAAAAATAAGATACTTTTATGATAAAGAACAACTGAAGGAATTCGTAACTACTAAACCAACCCTACAGAGAGTGCTAAAGGATGTTCTAGAGAGAGAGAAATAAATGACCATGGTTCCAAGAACAGCAGCAGAGGAGGATTGACAAACAAGACAGGCAATTAAATGAAGGTGAAAAGTGGAAAGCCAACAAGAAGATGATAGCAGGGCAGAGACAAACCAATGTATGCTGTGTAACCATTAATGTAGATGGCCTCGGTTCAGCAATAAAAAAAGAGTCGATTAAGAAACAGACTATCAATATATTGTATACAAGAAACACATTTAACTGGAAAGGAA